GTTCCCCTTCCCCCAATTCCCCAGCGCTGTTCCCATCCCCCAATTCCCCAATAAAAATAAAAAATAAAAAAAAAAGAAAAGAAAAGAAAAATCCCATATGCTGAGGTTGCTAAGATCTATAGTAAGAATGAAATCTTTTACCCGTGAATTTGTGAAGAAGGAAAAGAATTTGTGCTAGTTTGCTGAAAGAGTAAGACCACATTCATATAACTTTTATTATAGTATATTGTTATAATTGTTCTATTCCTAGTTATTGTTGTTAATCTCTTGCTGTCCCTAATTTACATGTTAAACATTATAGGAATGTATGTATAGGAAAAAACAGAATATATAGGGTTCAGTATTGTCTGTAGTTTCAGGCATCCACTGGGGGTTTTGGAACATATCCCCTAAGGATAAGGGGGGACTACTATATTTTACTACAATTAGTCTAAAACTACTCAGCCTCTCTGAAGTATTGACCTTGCTTAGGTTAAACATTTAGAGATAATTATCCTTCATTAGGAAATGTACCATTTGAAATCAGCTTATTTTTGATGCTAATGATTTTAACCTCTTGCTTGAGAGGTCTTATATGGATGTATTCCTGTCTCCTAGTATGCTGTAGTATGTAATATGCCTGATGTTGTCTGGAGGGCAGCATGGTTCCCAGAGCACATTCTCCAGCGGTGCGTTGCAGCTCAGGAAGGTGGGGTGGTGGTCTCCCGGCACTGATGAAGACCTGAAGCACACAGTGGTGACTTAGCCAGAACCACCCAGCAAGGAAAGAGGCAGAGTCTTTTTACTGGTTTGATTAACTCATGACCAGCCTTGCACCAAAGCTACCTCAAGAGTTTCATTATAATAAAGGAGAACATTAACAAGATAGAGAAAACGAAGCTCATATCAGAGATTATAGATTATAGGACCATTACTAAGAAATGAGAGTCTTAGGTACTTTCTGCCCTGAACTTAGGACATTAAATCATAAACATTAACAGACTTTAGGCCCTGGACAGTTAGTTCTTATACAACTTCTGATGTACTTATTATTGCCCTGGTTTTGTAAAGAGAAGGAAATTATCCCCCCACCTTTTTTAAAACGTACCTTTATAAAATATTAAATGTTCTTAAAAATAATAGAAAAAAACAACAACTAAGAATTTCTTTAAAACAAAAATAATAGAAAAGTATAAAGAAGGAAAGAAACCTTCCTGCTTATTGAAACACAACCACGGTTAACATTTTGTTCTTTCTTTTTGTTTTCTAATCACAGACTTCAGTGAATTCTGATTCTCATACCAAACTCTTTCTGGTGTTTCTCTCAGTTTGCTCGGCAGTATAGCAGGAATGAGCCCCTGACCTTTGCGTGGCTACGCCGATATACGAAATGGCCATTACTTCCACCTAAGAATATTAAAGACCTCATGGATCTCGAAGCTGTCCATGATGTCTTGGATCTTTACCTGTGGCTAAGGTATCAAATTTTTCCTTTTTGTGTGCTGTCATTTTTATAAGTAATAGGGCAAATTAAAGGTTTTATGAATGGTCTTTTGCACTTTCAAATTAGGCATCTATTTTCAGGGTGCTCTATATTATGTTTATTGTCAGTAAAGCAGTTGATCCTGGTTTATCCCTTTTCCAAAAGTGACTTAAGGAGTTCCTCTTATGATTCTAGTTAAGATAGGTAGGTGAGAAGTTCCACTAGATTCTTGCTACTGAAAGGGCAGTTCGTGAACCAAAAGCATTGGTGTCACCTGGGAGCTTGTAAGAAATAGAAAATATTAGGCCCAACCAGTCTTAGTCAAATTCTGTATTTTAACAGGACCCCCAGGTGATTGATTTGCAGATTAACATTTGAGAGGTACAGTAAGTCCTCAATTAACCTTGTTGTAGATTCTGAGACTTTAAGTTAAAGGGTATATGACGAAACCAATTTTACCACGGGCTAATTGGTACAAACAAGAGTTAAGTTCCTCTAGTATCTCATCAATGTTATAATGAAATGATGTTGAACAAAATGATGTTATTCGAGGACCTGCTGTATTGCTCTAGATCAGGGGTCAGCAAACTGCGGCTCGCGAGCCACATGCGGCTCTTTGCGTACGTTCCGTCTCAAAAGTTTGCTGACCCCTGGAAGAGCCAATCCTGTCCCTCACAACAATTTAAAAATTATTTGAGAGCCGTAAATATATTTTTACATAATCACCATTATGTGAATAATATCGTATAAAAAAATTTTTTATTTTAGCTGAGCCATCCTGCTACCTGTTGGCAGCTCAGTGGCAGCTCAACTCGGGCTGTGAATTGAACCGGTGACCCTGTTGCTCAGAGCTCGTACTCTTGAGCGAGCTCTTAACCAACTGAGCCACTTGGCTGGCTAAAAATTTTATAAATGAAACTATGATAGTTTTATTTTCATTTTCAGTTTTACTTCAGAGCCATAGTTCGTGAGCCACAGTTTGCTGACCCCTGGTGGCTTTTCCCTCTCAAAAGTTTGCCGACCCCTGCTTTAGATTAGTGATTCTCAAAGGAGGGGCATGTCACATTAGGGGAGCATATTGGAACCACTTAAGATAGGAGTGATGACCTATCTTCATAATGACATATTCCTCAGGTGTATTGGGGCAGAAATACAGGTTGAGCAAAGGCACTGGACAGATTTTGCAAAGACTGAACATTTGGAATTAGTGTTATGATATGTTACTATCATTGAGATTAGTTCAGCAACTATAGACAGAGCTGTTGCTATAACGCAGTATGTCTTTTTCCCAGCTATCGGTTTATAGATATGTTTCCAGATGCCAGCCTTGTTCGAGACCTCCAGAAAGAACTAGACGGCATTATCCAGGATGGTGTACACAACATCACCAAACTGATTAAAATTTCAGAGTCACATAAGCTGTTGAATTTGGAGAACTTGTCAGCAGAGAGCCAGTCTCGTTTGTCGGGAACCTTACGAAGCCAAGCTAGAAGGACGCGTCTTACCAAAACTTTAGAGAGTGAAGCTGCCGAGCCACCCAGCCCCGATGCAGCAGAGAAATCCCTTGCTTCCAGATTGCTGCGGCAAGGACTTCTCACTGCAGACATGCTAAAGCAGCTAGAAAAGGAGTGGCTGACACGGCGAACTGAGCGTGGCAGGGAAAAGACAGAACCTGGGACTTACTCAAAAGGGACAAGAAGAAAGAAGCAGGAAAATGATTCGAATTAGTTTTATTTTTATTTTTGCAAATAAAATCTGTTTTAAAATCCTTTTTTTTTCTCATCTGCATTTACTGCCTACTATAGTATTGTGCCTATCTTTTACTGTTTGTTTTTTGTTTGGCCCAGAAAAATGAACTTTTAAAGATGAGTAATCTGTTTGTTTCTATATTTTAAATATACAGAATGTCTTAGAGATTTTATTTAAAGCTTTATTAATGACCATTTGTAGTATAGCACTAAGACAATGCACTATAAGGAACTCTGCATGGGAATAAAATCAGTTTGGTGAATTGTGTGACCAGTTTCCGACACCGCTGCTGAGGGTGTCATGGATGGAATTCTTTGACAAATATTGCATGTTCCAGAAGCTGTTCTAAGTGCCGGAAAATATGCAGTAAGGAAGACATATATGGAGATTTTGATGTGGGAGACAGTAGGAATAAGTTAAATATTGTCAGCTCTGTGAGGGCAGAGATTGTCTGGTTCACTGCAGTCTCTTCAGTGCCTAGACTGTAGTAGAAGCACAGTCAGCCTTTGATAAATGAATGTAGGTAATTTCAGAGATAACTGCTGGATAAACTATTGGGTTGTCAGAAAAGTCATGACGCATTTTTACAACGAAAAAAAAAATTATGACTTTTCTGACAACCCAATAGAATAAGGGAAGAGAGTGACGAGTGGTTGCGGTGGGCTGTGTTAGATAGAGTGAGAGGTCTTCCCATGTCCAAGAGGTCTTCCTATGCCAGTCTGATGCACAGTGGCCTCTACTTGTCCAGCAGTTTTCAGCACTGGTCAGAGACAGCTAAAAGGAGCTTAAGGATGTAGACTGGCTGGACAGACCTGGGTTCAGCTGCTCATCACTGCCAGCTCAGTGAACTTGCCCTCTCTGGGGCTTGGTCTCTTCATCTGAAGACGATGGACAGTAATGCCCACAGTTATTCGGGAGGTAAAATGTGATGAGGTGGCATTTAGCACATTACCTGGTATATAAGGAAGTGTTTTTTATCAGTGAACCTCAAAGTTTGAGTTTGTTCTGGGCTGTGAATTGGGCTCTTAGGTGATTTCAAGAACTGAACTAAATTCTTGAGCAACTGCTAACCAGTCTGATTTCAGACTAGGGATTAAACTGATTTGAATAATTGGGTCAAAGAACAGCCAAGTTTGCCAAGCTAGTCATCTCTGCATTTTTCTTTGGTAGTTCTGAGTTCAGATGACTTGTCATTTAATTGAGATGCCAAGCTTTATTCTTCTAACCTTTGCCTTTGTGGAAATAAAGGCTGAACAGGTGACACTGATGATATTTCTCCCTTGCTTGTGGGTAAACAGTAGTGAAATGCCTGGAAGGGCATATTTCTTTAGATGTTCTGCGTTGGACAACAGCTTGTAGAGTTTGCCTTCCCCTGTGACTTACGCCATAGCAGACATAGTCCATTCTTGCCCAGATGGTCTCAAGAAATACCCATGAACTGAACTGAGTAATGGATTTGGTCTCATTGTATTTAAGTGATGAGGTACATCACGTAAAGGGCTAATTCTCCCACTTTCTCCATTTCGGGGGCCAGAGTTGGTAATTCAGAGCAGGAAGACAAGACAATTGCAAACCGGCAAGTTAAATGTTAGTGAAGCCTTGGATAAGAGTGGGGGTGGGGGATGATGTAAGGAAAGGGCTGCTTGAACACTGAGCTGGAGTGTTTATAAATAGTGATAAATAGTTTACCTTCACCTTTGTGGGGGACAGAGTCTGTGGTTAGGCGCAAGAAGAGACTAAAGAAAGATGAAATCCAATGAAACAAAAAGGAAAACATAATTGGAGTGGCCCTGAATAATTCTGCAAAGTGCTTAAAACTATGAAAACAACCTGATTTTCCTTCTCTGCAACAAGGTTGACATGTCCTTTATCTTTCTTTGTGGGCTTCTGGGCTAAGTCCCAGGCATATATTTCACCAAAGTCATGATTTCAACCCTTCCGAAATACAACCTTTTTTCTTTTTCTTACAGTTTTCTAACAGGTTTTGAAGTACTTTCCTGAAAGCCCTCTTTCAATGATTGTGGATTCAGCTGAACATCAACTTGGAGCGTCAACTGAGAGTTAGATGTTGACCTCAGTTCCCATCTATACAGAGCTGGGTAATTAATAAAATGTGGTTAGTACAATAACTGGTTAGGAATAATAACCAATGACTTGTAATGCTTTGTACATTACATTTGTGGACAAGAGTAAATCTACAAAATGAAATTGGGTCTTTTGAAAAATGACTTGCTGTGAGTCACAAGCATACAAAACTATCACAAATCACTAAAGTCTCTTACAGCTCAGAACTGGGAGTCTGCAATTATGATGCAGCCATTCTAGGTGTGTCCAACTCAAAGCAAACCTATTAGGATATAATAAAAAGTTGTGGTTTGCTAAAAAGACAAGCAAATGGATAAATGAATCTAGTTATTTCCCTTCTCTGTTTTACAGCTACAAAATACATAAATGTGAACAGAGATAGCAGTGTTCATAAGCATGCTTCTGAGTTGTTATCCAAAAATCTGTCACTGAACATAGATATTTCCACACAGAAGTGATAAGCAATAGTTGTCTTTATGGGAAAAAAGATGCTAGAGAAGAAAAAGTTCTTGAAGTAAGATCGGCCTTTGAAGACTGAATTTAAGAAGTTATTTTGGGCACATTTTGGTAGAGGAGGGAATTTTGAACTTGATCCTTGAAGGCTACACTCTTAGAATCTACAGAAAGAGTCTGTCACGTGCTCCCTGTCCCCTCCATGCCCTTGAAAAGCTCCTGATGCTCATAGAGCCTTGGCAAAGTCCTGTAACTCAGTGACTACTTTGAACTGCCATTTGATACACCAGTAAATTGCAGTGAAATTGTTAATCCCCTGCTGGAAAATGTTTTTTCTCAAGTGCTTGTAATCAGGTCAAGATCATTTAAAAAAAAATTCCTTCAGTAATTTGTAATGTTCAAAAATTGCCTTATTCTTTCAACAGCTACGTTTTCATTTTCTTAATGTTTATCACTCATTGTGATCCTTTTAAAATTGGTAAATGAATGAATGTTGATCACAGTCTAAAGTTCCGTGTGTATAAGTTTTTAAAGTAACGCATATTATAAATTCAAAACAAAACTCACTTGGAAGTAAGGCCTCTCCCCTAACCCACACTTATGCACATTAATTTCTCTTTATATACGTAAGCCAAATAAGCTTAAGCCATTTAAAAAATTTTTTTTTCTGTAATAGGAATGTATGTACCTCTTTAAAAACCAGAGACAAACACTTTCAACTGTTTTTCTAGTATGTACCTTACTGACTACATAATATGTATCCTACTATCTCCTGAGTCATTATTTTAAGACATTAGCTATTGAGTTCCTGTTATACCAGGTGAGGATTTAGCTTTCTTAAATCATTCCTTTTCCCCACTTAACCTTTTCATATAACTATTCCTCCTTTTTGTTAAATTGGTATTTAGAAATTATACTCATGACTTTTGTACTACTTTCTAGGCAATTTCTCTAAGTTTGTCTTCCAATCTATTGAAATTTTTGTTTTCTCTACCACAGTTTGTTTCTTAGACCTCTTTATTATTATTTGATAGTTCCTTTTTTTCATTTTGAAAATAAGAGGAATAGCAATAAACACTGTAATGTCTACATCTGAGAAGAGATTCAGAAACACATTTGTAAAGAAAGGGAGTCACAGAAGTCAGAAGAATAAAGGAGTATGGCATTGAGGGAGAAAGAAGGTAAGGATTTTGTTGCTTCTTGGGAGAATGTTGGCATTCTAACAGCTGGCAGTGCTGAGTTCTTGGAAGAGTAGATGCTTTCAGCACTGGGCTTTTCTTAGAGGTGTTCAGCCATTACAAGAGAAGAGTCTCTACCTTGAGATGATGGAAAAAAAACTTCCTATGACTTAGTCTCTGAAATTCTGCACAGTAATTTAATCTCAATTTCATTACCACCTGGTTCATATACCATGACTTTTTACTTACAGTACAAATTCATATAAATGATTTGCAGCTGAATTCCCAATTCTGCCTCCTGTTACTTAATTTTTAGTAATATTAGAACTCATGCATTTTCACATATTCTTTTAACTCTAAATCTTGCCTTGATCTTAAAACTTTTGAGTTTATCTTCCGTGTTGCCCTAAGGCTAATACTCTTTTTCCCTTACCAACATAATATATCATATCTTGTATTGTTATGTCAAAATTTATAATGTATTTGTGTGTGTATTATCCTTATTTCAATTAGACAACCCTAGTATAGCATTTCTTAGAGGCTGTTACCTTATTAGTTGAATTAAAATGCTCAAAACTAAGAACTCTCAGGCCGGCCAAGTGGCGCGATGGTTAAGAACTGGCTTGGGATGCCAGAGGGCCCCCGTTCGGATCCCACATATGAGGGCCAGTGACACTCCACAGCTAAGATGCTGAACAACCTGGAGCTGGACTGCCCTGAGTCGCCGGCTATGGCGTAGGCTGCAGCCCCTGTGGCAGTGGGTTGCCATGGGCTACCATATGTAGCCAGCAGCCAGCGTGAGCGGCCAGCAGCCAGTGTGAGTGGCCAGCAGCTGCAGTGAGCGGCTGTCCAGAAGCCGGCGACTGATCTGCCTCGCTCGGGAAGAGCGCAATGATGGTGCCAACTTGGGCCNGGAAGAGCGCAATGATGGTGCCAACTTGGGCCGGTGAAGCAACGTCCTCCACAACTAGACTGAAGAACAAAATGACAGCAACTTGTCTGTTTCCCGTCCCCCAGTTCCCCAGCACTGTTCCCATCCCCCAATTCCCCAAATTAAAAAAAAAAAAAGAAAACAAAAAAAACAAACTAAGAACTCTATAAAATGGGTTTGTTTGGGGTTGTTTGTTTGTTTTAGCATTTCCTTTCTGGTACTACAAGATTCTTCAAGTCCATCTTGTATATATATCCTGCCCTAGTCTAGAATCTGCCATTTCTCCAAGGATCCCTGGTTTTTTTCTTTCTTTATTTTTTTTAGAGTGATATTAGAAACAAAAATCAGAGCACTATGTATGCTTATTGCTAATGG